AGAGAGAGAGAGAGATTTTGCTGAAAACGAAATATATTATTCCGTTGAGAAATGTGATCGCTATTCAAAGTTTTTGCATACTAATTGGCGTCCTGCTCCTAAAAGCGTATTAATTCATCCAGCAGCTGGCTGACTTGTTTTGAGTGGTCATTCATCAAAAGGATATGAGACTGACAATGGAGGTTACCAATTAGTTGTGTAAACATCATGATTAATGAACGTTGTTGCATTGCTCTGAAATTCATAATTCATTTTGAATGGCGCCGATAGCGCATTAGCAAACTGCGAAGATTTCAAATGTTGACAAGAAATGAAAGGGACTCGAAATTGGTTCAAATGTTAACAAGAAATGAAAGGGATTCGCTGATTAGCAATATTTCTGAATTTTGCAATACTTTGCGCGTATCATGGTTGCTGTTAGTTTTGAGTACGACGAACGTAGTTACAACAGTCCATAACGAAATCTTATTTCGATCCAAATTCCATCAATTTGGTCAGTGCGTTCNCGTTCATTCTTCAATACGCTTCGAATTCAATTTCATTATCTATTACGTAAGATGTGTGGAAACCATCCGCTAACCAAATGTGCTCAAAAGACACGTTCGATAAATACATTTCGGGAGTCATTCGTACGTTTTCGTTGCATTTCAAGCATCTCTTAAATAGTACGGCTAAGTTGTTGGTGGAATGAGTACTTTCAATAATGAACGCCCTTTATCAACTGATATGTATTCATTAACTACCAAACTGTCATCTTTTATCAACTGTAAACTGATGTGTAGTGAAATGTCTGGTATCAATAATTCCTTCGAAATTGTTCCTTTTTCAGCGACGAACTTTTCATCAGTTCATGTTCATCATTTTTTGTTTCTGCCTCAGCAATTTTGCAGCGTCATTGATTTTTATTCCTACTGATTTTATCTTCAGAAGATGAAGATTTATTTCAGTTCATTGAATCTACCGACGACATTTACGATCATCATCGGTTCGTGCATCGAAATTACTTTTCTCAGTCGTTTCCTCAAACAAATTCTGCTTTAATGAGATTCATTATTGGCTGTAGCTGTATATGATGATCATTTTATGGTTAATCTGTCCGTCAGTTCACTCAAATGCAATGAAATCTCTTCAAATGAACTGTATCTGTAGAAAAAACGGACATGGTGTTATGGAATGTCATGATATTGAGTTTTCGGAGTTTTAGGAGTTTCTGTTCTAAAAGAATGCGGTTCCGTTACTGTTCGCCTCTTTCGACAGTTATCACCATTTGATCAGTGCTGAAACTTTCATTCGAATTGATCCACAAAAGTAACTGATCCNAATTCATAATTATTCCAGTGGAAGTTTGTCTAATGCAATGATTGATGAATATCTCATTTAATGAGAATTCTCTTTTCTTCGCATGATCGTTTGAACGTGCGAGAGAGAGAGAGAACCAGTTTTATCCGTTACATTTATCCATCAACTATTCACAATGAAGATGTTCTGGTTGACAAATAGTGAAAGTTGATTGCGGTTTAAATTGTAGGAATCGATTTAAATCATAACTTAATTCAGTACACTGAAATAACCTAATTACTTAATAAGTTGCTTAATTGAGTTCGTAATCTAATTATAACTTAATTTAATTAATTCAAGTTTTAATCAAGTATTCATAATATATTTATTCTTTAAAACTTCTTAACAGAAGAGCGCACTCATTGCAATAGTAATGGCGTACACTGTACTGATCATAATGTTTTACAAACCACAAATTTTGCAAACAGTTTCCTTTGCCAGCACCGAACCATCATTACTTTGTGTTGATTTATAACGAATCGCTCCGCTCCCACGAAATGTCCGTGCATACACTCACAATCAGTGTTGCCGTTTTATGAATACAAATGATCTCTATTGGATTCTTCGCAACTCTGAATTCGCCTGCGCCTGCTTTGTTCTCGTCTCGATTCTGTGAACTCGCAAGTGATTGATGCGTGAAGCATGACTAGCTTCAGACAGTGTTAAACTTGAGATGCATTTTTGCGCTGACTGCGAGAAAAAAATTCATTTCATCGACAATAAATCAAATTCTGAAAAAAAAATTCAACATTTCGTTTGCACGTTGTGTTTGTACTAAGAATGATTGCTGTACGAGTGGCGATCGAAGATTTGCTTCGGGAGCGCATCGCACACTTTCACCCTCAAACACACACACACACAAACAACTGGATGTGTCATCGATGTGGCACGTTTGATTAATTTCTGAATCTGAAATGGAAACATTTGCAGAATTCGATGTGGAAACAATTCAATTAACTAAAATTTCTTCACTCATATACATCTACCATCCAACACAAATCCCAATAATAGTTTGTCTGACGGACCAAAATAACATCAAGCGTTCTTTCTCCTCATTTTTATGACATCGTTCCGCTCTTGATGTCTCAAATTCGTACTTTCCAATTTCGGTCTTATAGGGTTTGATTATATTCTCTCTATTTTTCCACTCAACAACGCCAATCATTCATTTCAAGTTGATCCTTTCAATAAGAACACCGTTCTCGTTGTTTTCTTCTCACAACATTCTATAATACACTTGAAACGAACGGCCAAGCTGTCGAAATGATATAAGTCATTATCACTTTCGAATGTCGACATGAATGCTGAACTGATCGATGAGGATAGAAGTCATTCATTAATGAGAGGGATTATTAATTAGTCAATTCATTTACATAGTAGCAATACTAAACGAATGAGAGAAACGGAGACATACTATGATTTGGATAGTGAATGTTTGCGTACGGCTCGAATGGACATACAACGTTAATTGGTATTTCTATTACCGATATAAATTATAGTATATTACACCTTGACGAGTGAATATGATGAATAGTTTTATTGGTATTGTGAGAACATAATACACATTCTTATTATTATTGATTGTATTATATAATAGCACCAACAAAATCTATGTTTCTAATTGATTACTAAAACTGACAAATATTCAAATTGAATATTTGTTGAATTTGAACAACTCAAAGCCTCCAAACGACTCACGATCAGATACGTATCTGAACAGCCATTTGAATAATACATGAAACGATCATCACGTCGTTGAGTGCGGAGTTTTTTTTAGACCTCCAAAGAGATTGTTTTTTTTGAGTGTTGCAACGAGTGGTTTTTCTGATCTGAGAATGGTTGAATGCTTATTTCAGTATATTGGAGTCGAAGAAATCAGCGGGGAATTGGTGGTTAAATCTGAACTGGATTACGAGCAGAGGACGTCATACGACTTTTTGGCGATTCCAGTTGATGGATCGAAAGCAATTCACGTGTACGTGCACGTCATCGATGAGAACGACAACGCACCCATATTTCCGGTGCCGTCTGTCAATGTCAGTAATCAAAGATTTGTTAAAGCATTCTCGATGTACTGTCATCAGTGTTTACCGTCTCAATCACAAATGACCCGCACATTAATGGTCTAACGTTCTGCGTACTAGTTTGCATACTTTGATCCATCACTTTCATAATAACATCTTTAAGCACTTCAGTGGATTGATCATTCACGATGAATAATGTCATTCAGAGATTATATTGATGCAATAGCATTTATAAGCGCGGCGTGACAGATTTTTCATTTATGCTAATAAAGCACATGCTCTTGATTGAGCATTTAGCAAATTTATTTGTCACAGACTACTTTTCATAAGTCTTAGACAATGAGCCATAAATTTTTTATCGAATCTCTGTAAATATCACTTTTATTGATGCAAATAATTGGATGCATTAATTCGTTATCCACTCAAGACAATTCGTTCAATTCCCAAAACAATCAAATAATCTCTGAACGATCATGCACACAATTCAGTAACGTACTGCAGCGATATTTGCACATTCTCAACGCCGCATCAACTTCTAATTGCTTAAATTTTGCTTTGAATGAGGGTTTCTTTGCATCCAAACACTACGTACCTCGTTGCTCTCGATTGAACCGAATTTTCGATTCGTTAAAGTGACCAAATCGAAGAATTTTCATACTGCAGTGCAGTGTTCTCATTGCGATATCCTTTTCATTACGAAAGGATACAAAAATTCTGCATTAATCACGTAACAGATTCTTGCCCAAAATCTATAGTAAAAACTGTGTGCATTGTTTGTGAGAGCTACTGCAAGCGATTTTCAGTAATGTCATCGAATGTTTAATAATTTTCAGTTCGTTGACTTGTCATTGCCTAACTAGTTTCCGAGGCAGAATATTAATTATGCAAAATATATGCAGAATACTCAGCAGACTTAAAGTGAATGNACATCACTGGCACTAAACTTGAAGAATTCATCTTCATTATTAGATGGATTTCAACTATATCAGAAGAAAAAAGCAAAGCAATTTGGACAGTTCATTAAATTTTCCTAAAAATATTGTTTTTAGATTGAGATTTCCGAGTATGCGCGTCTACATTCTGAGTTAGCTCTTCCGTCGGCAATCGATGCCGATGCTCCTCCACTATCGATTCAGAAATATCGTATCTTATCTGGAAACGTGAATAATGCTTTCAGGTTGGTTTCAAATCGAGTTGTGCAGCCGTAATAGAATATAAGCAGTGAAGGGAGAGATTTAGTGGGGAAATAAATGTGAAATTTGAAGAGATCCGAACTGAGCGGACATTTTAAATCTTCTTATATGCATATGTTATGATTGATGGCTTTATTTGAATCTATTTTGAAGATAGTCGATTTTCAACAGGGCTGAATATTGATTTTTGTTGAACATATGATTGATGTTGCTTCGAAAGTAAATTTAATTCAATTTTGCAAAATGTGCTCGTTTGTTTTTCGTTCCAGTATTGAGAATAAAAATCAACGATTCTCAAATCATATTCATATCCAAATTGTAACCATTAAGAGCCTACAATAGCACACAAACTATTCTGACCAATCCCAAATGAGGGAAATTCTTTCATTCAGTCTGATCAATCGCTCAATTAAATATGCTCAACGACCTCTAAGCCTTATTTTACAAAATTATTGATAATAGAGCACTGTCGTTTAATGCGAACATTAAGTTAAATT